GCCCCCCCCCCCTTCATCCTGCCTCTTCCATCTTCAGTGCTGGTGTTCAGTCCTAAAACCGCTGCTCTCGGCTTTTTTCAGATCGACGTGCAGCTGAACATCATGTCCTTCCTCTCGCCCCAAGATTTGTGCCGCTTGGGAAGCACGAGTTGTTACTGGAGGGCGGCTGGGCAAGACCCCAAAAGACCCGCTGTTGTGGAGGTATTTTCTCCTGAGGGATCTCCCCTTTTGGACGTCTGTTGATTGGAAATCGCTCCCAGATGTGGAGATTTTTAATAAAGCCTTTTCGGAAGTCAGCGATAATGCGCTGTACGATTACATGGCAGTGTAAGTATCTTCATATTGTCTTACACGACTTACAGTCTCTCCACAGCCGTAACACTCCACCCGCAGTCATGTTTCATATTTACCGCAGTAAAGCTGTGCTGTAAGCCGCTGCCTAAATCTCTCAAATCCATTGTTTATTTTGGAAATACAGTTTCCTGTTGTTTGACAGTTTGGTCAGCTCTTTCTGTTTGGGATTCAACAAGCATGTAAAAAAAGTGAAAGCCAACGTTATTATAGAATTAAAACATTTTTTGCAAACTGCACGTCTGCTATGCCACAGAAATACAGTTATCTCAGAAGCGGTGCGTGCTGTTGATCTTGATAAAAATGTGTTCTTCGCTCTCAGTATGATGACAAATGATTTATTACTTCAATAAAAGTACTGAGAAGTCTTCAAACTACAGCAAATGGAATGAATCTTTATTTTTTTCATCCTACCTGGAAGACCTAGGGAATAAAACAAAAGGTTTTTTTGAATATGCACAGAATAACAAGTAGTATTGCTTTAGCCCTGACAGTCAAAGGCTGTAAGACAAAGACTGTGGTTTCAGCTAGTATATAGTTGAAAAGCATGTCATCACTCATAATGTGTTTGGATGACTGAGAAGAACTCAAGGCAAGCAGATTGTTCTGTGGGGTTTTTTTTTAAACTTCATTCAATTCTCTTAATTAATTTGCAGTTTGTTTTTTTTTTTTTAATTTGCAGTTAAATTTTCCAGAGGTGATATTATGAAACTGTTGCTTCATGATCAGTGCATTAACCTCTGCAATCGCTGTGCCCTTCATCCCCACTTTACAGATGGGAAAGATGCATCCCGAATTTGAAGTGCAAAATATCTACTGATTTTGAACATCAGATCTAAATCTCTTTAGGTCTGAATACTTCAGAGCTTCACCTATTTGAAACCACCTGTCCCTGATTTCCATTCTGTCTGTGAGCACTTAATGGTTTTGCTGGTCTCAAATGAAGCATCTCAGTTTGGGTGTAGGGGAACACATGTTTCATGTTTCCTTGAAGTGATTTGTCCAGCAGCAGCCAACCATGACCACAGAAGCAAAGATTGAAGCTGCAGCTGCTTCTCTAGGATGTCTGTTGCTTCTGTGGCTGTTACTTCTTTCCCTTGGTTACCAAAGTCTTTCCATGGCTTCCAGCTTCTGCATCAAAGGAGCACATAAGCTTGCAGGCAACACCTGTCTCCTTTCCTGATATCCATTCTCTGTGCCTGCAGGGGAAATGGTCCTTTTTTAAGGTGGAGTTACCTGTTTCATCATTAATAAACACAAAAGCGGTCTAATTAAGGTTTGAAAAGCACTCAGAAGTCTTGTATTCTTTTATGTTGTATGTGACTCATCAGCTTTGGTGTTACTTTTCCAATACTGTGTGTTCAGCGAGGGTGGAGGAATTTGTAATTTTATTTTATTTTTTAAAGTAAACTAAAAGATCCATAGATAGAAGTCTACTAAGGTCCAAAAAGTCAGTATTTGAACTTCGAAAGACTGATGCCTTTAACCTGTTGGTGCTTGAAACTATCAGTTTGGAACTTTATCATTTTTGACCTGTGCGTGAGTTGTACTGGTAACAAAGCATGAGAAGTGTGGGGCGTAAATCAATTTATGTTGTTTGATTAATACCTCTCTTGTATTTTGTGTTTAATTTCTAGTTGCATCTATTTTACACAGATACAAAAAAAGCTGTCCTCAGAGTAGAAGAAGTTTGAAATCAAGCCGTCCCCGGTATGGGGCTGTGACTTCCTTTTTGCAATCACTGGTCACTCAGGCAGAACCTCGCTTTGCTATGTTTGGGCCGGGTTTGGAAGAGCTGGATGACTCTTTAGTGCAAAAGATGATGACATGCCCAGAAATTCTGCTAGTAGCTGGCCTACCTCAAAGACAGATTCATGGTAATGCTGGTTTTGGCTTTTTTATTTCATAAATAAGTACAGCACAAAAAACAGTGGGGGAGAAATAGAGAAAAGGGATGCTTTTTTCTCCCCTTGGAACTCAATAGCATAATGGTAAAAAAAAAAAAAACCAAAGGACATTTTCTCTCTCTGTATGTATTCAGAAGGATAAATGCAGTGAACATGTGGGATACAATTATAGCTGCAGTGAATTTATGATTAAATTTGCGCAATGTCAGAGGGATCATTTTGCTCCTTGTATTTCTGGTTTGGTCTTAAATTCCATGTCACACCTGCTGTTGTAATGGATAAATGCAGATAGAACTTTCTTTAGATACTGATTGCAGTAAGTGCCTGAAAAACACACTTGTGTTTTTATACAGGAAGTCAAGATTGATCCTTTATATGATTCAGTCTTGTGGTGTCAAACGGTGTAAATTTCATTTAGAAGAGTTACAGGAGCAGGTGAAGGATTTTTTCCAATGTCTAAATATAGTTTTGCACATCTGTAATTTCACTTCAGTCCAAACCAGAGACAAAAATGTATTACTTTTTAACTAATGTTTATTTCAGCACAACAGAATTGGAATAATTAGATTGTATTTATAGAAAGTGTGAAAATATGCTTCCTTAGTGTTACCTTTTTTTCTCTCTTCTGTCCTTTTTAATGCAGCTTGTCGTAAACGGACTAGAGCCTTTGCTGTGCCAGTTTCGGCTAATAAATGCAAGTTTAGCTCCTCTCTGACTTAGGTTTCTAGGTTCAAGTCTAAGTATCAGAAACATGGAAATGTCTCTTTGTTTTCTTTTAATACTGATTTTAATTAAAGTAATAGTCTGATCAATTAAAGAATGTATAAAATTTCATTGTAAGATAGTAAGTATGCTACACCTAACAGCAACACCTAGGCTTGGATATAGCCATTTTGTAGCACCACTGGAATTTTCAGCCTACCACTTAGTTGTATTCAGTAACCAAATAGTTGTCATCTCATGTATTCATTTTTTCCCCTGTAGGAATTGGATCAGGAGTCAGTTTTCAGCTTAATAACAATCAAAAATTCAATATTCTGACATTGTATTCAACTACCAGGTAAGATTTTTTTCTCCACCAAAAAAAAAGTACAGTTTCTCCATTATTTCATACTTTTCCTCATGTTTTTGTCACGTGATTTTTATGCGTGCATTCATATGCATGGATATCCCTTACAAACTGCAGCTTCAGTGCCTATCTTCACTTTTTCTTTCTTTCTCCAGCTGCTAAATTTTCATGTGGAAGTAATAAACCTTTTCCAAACCTTATACATAGCAAGTGAGTGTGACAAATACATAGCAGGCGCTTCTATCCCTCTTGATACCTTGATTGATTCCCTTTTGAAACCCTATATAAACTCATCCTGGGGTGTGTTTTCATACGCACCTTGGGGATTGCTAACAATCTGTGGATGTACACTAGGAAAGAAGGGGGGCAGGAGGGGGTGGGGAGAAACGAAACTTTTGCTTGCTCAGGCCATTTTCCTGTCTCTTTCCTGTGCTGCTTAGACTCTCAAAATCAAGTTTTTGCATTCTCAATTAACCTGACTACTGAAATACTGCAATATCTTTCAGCGTGGAAAGGAGGAGAGCAAAGGCAGAGCAAGCTGTTGCTGTGAATAAGATGTTCTACCAAGAGAACAGCATAGTAGGGAATCAGCAAGCTGTGCACTACAGTGTCATAGCTCAAGTGAAAAAGGTGTGCGAAGTAGTTGATGGATTCATTTATGTTGCTAATGCAGAAGCTCATAAAAGTAAGGGTTTTCTCTTTATTTTATTTATTCGTATTTTGTGAATGATTCAAATATCCTAAAAGATTGCAGTGAATACACAATACATCAAAATCCATGTTTTGATTCTTTGAAAATCTGCTTCATTAGTGCTATATCTTCATGGCTCAGCCGGTCAAAGAGGTCCCCTGTCCTAGACACTCTCCCTCATCTCCCTGTGAGGGGTTCTGGCCCCTTCTTTCATTTATGGCAGCTACCGATATGGTTGCTATCTAAGCTAATGTGGGAAATTATCTGGATTTAAAAAAAAAACAAACCAACCCCTGGGCATGGGTAAGAGAAGCCTGAAATGGATCAGTGGAGGTGTAACAGCCTGGAAACAGAACCTTCACCACAAAACTGCAGTAAAAGATGCAATTAGTCCAGATTAGGATAGTCCTGTAAGAGGATAATCCATATACCTATTATGGTAAATGTCTTTACATTCACCAACTTTAAATGGAGGGAAAGGGCTAGCTCAGAAAAGAAGAGGGTAAAAAAATGGGAAGGGATGTACTAAGGAGAAAAGTATGGTCAGTAGGGAAGGGCTGCTGACTGTACAGTGTGTATTTCTTAATGGCTTGTTGCAATTTTGATGTCTGTGAGGTATGTGGAAAACACTCTGATGTTACAGACTGGAGTAGACTGCCTGTAGAATCTATGGAGATCTTTAAATAACAGCTTAGTGTGACATGAATGTCTGTGTGACATGAATATCTGTGTGACATGAATGTGGATGATCCAGCCTTCTGATAAGCAGAACTAGATAATTTGGCCATGTTCCTTCCAGCCCTCTGTTTTCTTACCTCTGAAATCCTAACTATTTGAAAAGTTTTTTTTAAAAAAAAAGTTCTCCTTGGGATTTGCGTGTATTTGATACTCATATATTAAAAATTGTTTCTCAGAGCATGATCGTCAAGAGGAACTGGCTCATATTTTGGCAATGATTGATCCAGCCCTTGGGCCTCCAAACAGACCTCTGCTAGTTTTGTCTTGTGTCTCTCACATCAGCGTGAAAAGAATTCCCTGTGTTTACATGGCACATCAGTTGCAACTAAACCTGCTACATCGGCCCTGGATGGTACTTGCTTTTAAACCTTCATTTTTCTGTTGCTCTGTGGCTTAAATTTAATTTAGGCTTATGATATTTCCTGAACTGTACCTACCTAAGCAAGCGTGCAGCTTTCAACACGAGTACGTGAGCTCTCCACTTACGTGAAGAATTTAGTTTCTCTGGTCCTCTAAGATGAATCATTAGCCTATCTGAACATAGGGGAGCTAAGTGGCTTGCCCAGGAACACACAAGAAACTTCAGATGGAGCCAGATTGGAAGGAAGGGCGAAATGCTGGTCTTGAAGGGAGTAAGGAGGCTTCAGTTAATTTACATCTAAATTTCCTGAGTCACAACCCAAGGCCTTGGGCACAAGGTAGATTTTTCTGCCATTTTCAAGAGACTGTTAATTGTAACTCACTTGACGTGAGGTATTGCAGCTTTGACAAATTAGTTTTTTACCTAGCATGTGAGGTCCTGAACCTGTTCTTTTATGCTTGTCAAACACAGTATATATCAGTATGGCTCAGCCACACATAACTGATTTTTGGTGACATTGTGTAGCTGAAGAATAGTACTTAATCAGAAAAAACAAAATCCTGATTTGAGATGATGCCTTTGTTTTCATAAGGAAAATGTTTACAGGCTTTTTTAAAACCATACCATTTATAATAGCCACTTTATAATACGTTACAGAATCTGAAAATTAATAATATGCATTGAGTTCTAAAGCTAGTAGCATTTTTTCTTTAAGAGTTACAAGAAGAATTTTCAAGTAGATTCTCACGTGTAACGTTCCAGAATAGCTGATGGAATGATTGAGATAAAATTCAACTTGATACCAAGAATGCAAGGCTTTCCTAATGGGTCTTACAATTAATTTTGTGAAGAGTAGTGGGGTTTTTTTGTACTTTACTCTTAAGAAACCTTTTTTGTCTAAGGGACCTCTAAAGCAGTGATAACAATTTAGATTTGGTATGAGTATTTCTGACTTTAAGGATAGACATGGAGTAATGCTAAAGTGCTGCTACATCCTGTTACCTGTTTTCTCTAATGCATTGGCTTTTTTTATTTTTACAGGTGCAGGACACTGTAGCTGCAACTTTAGCTGGATTGCTAAGTGGAATTGAGTGGCTCCTGGAAGAAGCAAATTGTAAAAATGCACAGTAAAGGAATTGTGCGTTGTTTTACTGTATAGAGACTTCGGTGTTTTGCGGTTTGGATGAAGTGAGAGTCTTGTCCTGACAGAGCACTGTCAGAAGATTTAAAAGGCAAACCTGCATATATTTCTCTGCATGTACTTTAATAATTAACATTCTTCCAACTGTAGTCCTGAGTTAGAAATACAAGTAGGTTTGCCTGGATTCCGGATGGAACTCCATCCAGCAGCTGATGAAGAAGTGATTCTGGGGGCAGTCCGGGTGTTTGTTTTTTCTTCTTTCTTTCAAACTCGGGCCTTTAGGGTGCAATCTTTTCGCAGTATATCTGATAATCTAATCTCTCCTGTAAATATACCTAACACTAGGTTAGTTTATCAGCACAGCCCTATGGCACGCATCACGCATTCAGTAAGTATATTCAGTGGTGATCTCGACAGTGATGGTTCCCACCCAAAGAAAATATACCATACTTTGTGCATTTTTCCAGAAGCAATGCCTAGACAAGAAATAGCACCTGTGGGAGAATTGTCAGTCCAGACCAAAGTTCTTAGAAGCAAACAAACTACCTACCGTGTATGAATTGGTCGTTTATTGTTTGTGATCTTATTTGTTAGCCAACCACAAAAGACTTCAGCATCTTCTGCTTTCTGTTGCAGTGAAATTATTAGCTTGAACTGGACTTACCTCTGATGTCATGAATAAATGTTAAATACAATTGTTAGGACTTCAGGACATTTGTCGAATATATAGGACCTATCAGTTACTCCAATAGTTGTGGCCATCTGCAGATGTGAAGTGTACTTGGTTTGAAATTTTCTACACAGTTGCAAATATTTTTGTAAAAAGGGGAACAGCATTTTAGAGCTGGAATTGCATTTTCCGTATTGAGGTCATTTGGGATAGTCCTAGTCTTCCACCTTTTTAATGTTTTTTAATTATTAGATGAATGTTCAGAAACTTCCCTTGGATTTCTTGCCTATGCATTTATTTGTTTTGTTCTGGGTTTTTTTTGTTGTTGTTGTTGTTTTTTCCTCTCTCCATGGAAATGCAATAGTCTCACAATTTTTTCTTGGTACCTAGGTAAATGACTGCCTGGTGCACATTCAGCTGTAACTGCCCTCAGTCTGGTGTCTTTGTGTGATGCTCAACACAGCTAGGTCAGAAATGTTCCATTTGAGTTGGGGGTTTTTTGTTGGTTTTGTTTTTTATTTTTTGTTTTTATTTTTTAATGAACTATGACAGACAGAGGAACTGGTGGTTTTTTTCCTCATCTTCATGCACAGTTAACTCAGCTTTCTGCACATTTTTTTATGTCTTCTAATCAGGACATATGGGAGCTTCAAGGGAAAATCCATGGGAAGCTATAGTATGATAATTCTGTGCTTTAGCCTTTTTTTAATAGGGTATGTGTGCTTTGCCCTTTAAAATAGAGAAGACACAAAAGATCTATGAGTATTTGGGGGAAAATTCCATGCTTTGTGACTGGGTGCGACTTTTCTGCTAGCCATAATAATTCCGTAATGATCTATCTGTAGAGCATTGAATGCAGCAGCCTGTTGCTATGTTAGCCACTGCAAATGTTTTTTTATGCAAGATCCTTGTTCTGCTTTCTTCATAAGGAATAAATTATTTTTTAAAGAACGGTATTTACTGTCTGTTAAGCCCCCCTGCATGGGTGCACAGGTGCTGTGTGCACACACACACTGTCCGCAGTCATGCTGTCACAACAGATAACAAATTGTCATTGTCACACAATCACAGAATGGCTGGCGTTGGAAGGGACCTCTGGAGATCGTCCAGTCCAACCCCCCTGCTAAAGCAGGTTCACCTACAGCAGGTTGCGCAGGATCACATCCAGGCAGGTTTTGAATATCTCCAGAGACGGAGACTCTACAACCCCTCTGGGCTGCCTGTTCCAGTGCTCTGTCACCCTGAAAGTAAAGAAGTTTTCCCTCATACTCAGAACTTACCATGTTTCAGTTTGTGCCCATTGCCCATTATCCGTCGCTGGGCGCCACTGAAAAGCGTCTGGCCCCATCCTCCTGACACCTGCCCTTAAGATACTTGTAAGCGTTGATAAGATCCCCTCTCAGTCTCCTCCAGGCTAAACAGACCCAGCGCTCTCAGCCTTTCCTCATACAAGAGCTGCTCCAGTCCCCTAATCATCTTTGTAGCGCGCCGCTGGACTCTCTCCAGTAGTTCCTTTGCTGGGCGCCACTGAAAAGCGTCTGGCCCAATCCTCCTGACACCTGCCCTTAAGATACTTGTAAGCGTTGATAAGATCCCCTCTCAGTCTCCTCCAGGCTAAACAGACCCAGCGCTCTCAGCCTTTCCTCATACAAGAGCTGCTCCAGTCCCCTAATCATCTTTGTAGCGCGCCGCTGGACTCTCTCCAGTAGTTCCTTGTCTGTCTTGAACTGGGGAGCCCAGAACTGGACACAGCGCTCCAGATGTGGCCTCACCAGGGCAGAGCAGAGGGGCAGGGTAAACTCCACCCA